GATAAACCGCTAATCAAAATCGTGTACACCAACGTCTACCAGTGCACTAAGATTCGACAGTAAAATGTCCAGTGGGCATTGCTTTGTTTACTGTCTTGTTTGATCTCTTTAGATTCTTTTTAATGTCCCAGCAGGGCCAAGTAACGCCCGCTAATGCCCCCCAAAAATGCCTAGCGACGCTACAAATCTCTATGCAACAGCCTTGCGTGCTGTACAAATTGCACGGTGTACATTCGTCACTTTGTCTCGTCAAACTGACATTCCAGCGAACCTGAACTTTGACCGGAGTGAACATGGAGCCCTGCTTGCCGTTCGGCACGCCCAACGGGATGCAAACGTAGGCCTTGATCGCCATTCTCGTTGTGTTCGCCAGTGTAGTGTCGACAGTTAGGTGCACCGGATTATTGCACTCCCGCACATAATACTCGTGGATGACGGACGAGTGCGTGGTGACCTGCGATACATTCCGTTTAGTCGCGCGCCATGAAGGGGGCACGTACGACCCGGTGAGGAACGATTCGTCGAGACAAAGCTGCTTTCCTTTTACACTCAAGTGATACTGAGTCATTCAGTTATGTGAGTATTTTATACTGAGATATGACATCATTAATGTGAGTCTATTAAACTCACTAAAGCACACGGTCTTGATCGTGTGCAAAACAGTTAAATCTGGTTGAATCTCACTTCTCAAGAACCAAAAGGAACATGCATTCAACTGAGTTATGACGTCACAAGTGAGATTTATCCGAGTTTTCATGTAAGAGGAAAGCAACTGATGTCGAATTCCACTCGGCATCAGTTTGCCGGTGCCGACGTCGGTCGACGAGTCATTTCTCGCCGGGGAAGCGAGCGTGAGAAACAACCTCGTTGCCGGTGGCCCACCAACCGACGATATTCTCCTGCGCGTTGACCCGGTGATTCAGGTCGTACAGATCCATGCCGTACGTGAGGTCGGTCTCCACCTGGCTCTCGGACTCCTTATGCGGCACGCAAAAGCAGTTGGTCACCTCGACGACGCCCTTCTGCGTGCCGTTAATCGCATGTGTTCTTTCCGTCGTTGAAGTATAACTTCTCACTCGGCAGATGATTTCGAGAAACGACCCCCAAGGCTCGACGATTCTTCTCCACTATAGAAACAATAATACGTTCGTGCATATTATCTCTCTCATCTTGATTTATCATCTTGATCCGGGTGTCCCCGGATTCGCGATAAATCACTTTCGTAAACTTGGTAATTTCTACATCGCCCTTACCTGTCGGCAACAGAAATATCGAATCTAGGATCTGGTGAATTTTGAATAGAAGAGCTGGGCACAATATTCGTCATAGCCGTTTGTATTTGTGGGACGGATTCTTCTTGCGGTTCTTCGATTAAATGATGTGGTGTAGTTAATACCCCGTCGAGAATATTCTCAATTGTCCATTCGACCGATCGAGTCATTCTAAGGTCTTCTAGGATTACATTGCGAGAAAAATAGGGGAAGAGTAGTTGTACCTAATAAAGATGTTTCGTTACGATAAAATTGTCGCCTTTTGTCCCTTTTACGAGAGTTAAATATAAGAATGGTACAAAAAAAAGATTACCTGTCGCGCCATAGCATCCATCTGGGAATTAGTGTGCGCCAATGTAGATATGTTGCCACGTAATCTGTTGTGCGAAACCTCGACGGAGAAGCTGGGCAACCAAGACACA